TTGGTTTTTGGTGTTTTGCTTGTGGTTTTCTTCGGTTTCGCATCTTGGCTCGTAACTCTCTCTTAGCTAGCGCAAGATGACCTGTGCAATCTCTGCACACATGGCGTCTCCACCCGTGCAGGAAGAAAATTGTAGACTGTGTGCTCAGCAGTTGTCTATGGACGACCTGCGAGCAATTGTGACAGCCAGAGAAATGGCGGCAGTAGAAGCAAAGAAGGTAAAGAAGGCAGGTGCTGAAGAGGCCGGCCGCACACGGCATCGTTTTTGTTTGTGTGGTATGTTGCGGGGTCCAGCAGCAGGACAAAAAAAGCAAGGGTCCAGGATGCAAAGGCCGCGAAGGCGGAGGCCACCTTCCCACTGCAAACCTAAAAAGAAGAAAAGGTTGAGGTACGGGCCGATCTCAGCGCGCCTTCAGTGAGCAGTGCCTCTGCAAGACCGGCGCATAACGCGGACCAATCACAAGCATCTTGCTGCCGACCCCAATTGAAGACCCCAAAACCTGACCAAATCCTCGCTTCGTGGCGTGGGGCCTCCAGAGGACAAAGTTTCAGTTGGGTCGGAGTGAGGAACTTCCAAGAAAACACAAGGACCAACAGAAACCACTCACGGCGGTCCACCACAAGCATTGCAGCAAACAAACACGCAGCAAGCGCGCTGCCGCAATCAGACTGCTGAAAACAGCAGCTGACCATTGATCTGTGAGCTTGATTGTTTTCGACAACTTCTTGCTCCTTCAAGAGATGGAAAAATATTTTCTGGACACCAGTTTGGGGTCCAAAACCACAGCAAAAACCGGTCTCACCACAGAGGGCCTCCCCAGATATGTTCGCAGGGTGTAGAGAACAAGTGCTCGCGGCGCTGCAAAGCCATGGAAGCCCAGCAGTGTGGAAAATTTCTGTCGTACCTGCCGAAACAATCGAAACGCTATTTTTCACTCGGTGACCAAAAATTTTTGCCGACAAAACGGCCCCCGTTTTGGGGTCCAGAAACGGACAACACTCGCACAAAAAAGAACAACACCTACAGAAAAACCATTGACAAAAACTTCAGACTCAGGCCAAGAAATAGAGAACTGTCTTTGAAGGGGCTCGAGTTGAAAATGGGTCAACTGAACAATAAATTTGAACTAGTGCCAGGAAGAGGTGAAGAAGATGTAGCAGATGCAGTAGTGAGAGAGAGAAAAATACAACACGATATGAACAGTTACTTGAAATTGGAGAAGAAAGAAGAGATCACTCAGATACAATGCCATCAGAAAACTCCAGGAACCCCGTTCTTGAGAGAGTGGACAACGCAACATGAGGATGATGAAAATAGAGTGAACCATGGTGACAGAGTGAGCTAAACTTAGCAATTCGATCGCTCACACTACCAAGAGGGAGTGTGAAACATTTTTTCAGGATAGAATAGTACATAGATGTACAGCATCATCAACATCTCATTGGTGCAGCGTGAGTTGACTGGAAACCCTTTTGTTCAAGAGAAAAGTTCGCAGTATACAGATGCCAAAAGCACAAAGTCAACATCGCGAGCAAGCCTCCACTTTCTTGCGTGCCTGCGGAGGGTGAGGGATCTGAAAGAAAGAGGACTCGACAAGACCAGCAGCGGTTGAAATGTCAATCCAATACAACGCAAGTCAAAGGCCAATCCCTGAAGGTCTAACTGTACTGAAATGACCGGAGTGCTGCAATGTACTCACGTCAGGTGATTGTTTCCATGTCACTTTCGCTGTGCATTATGCTCATATAAGCGTTAAGAGTCACTTGTTGAGCCAAATCAAAGGGCCACCGTGCAATTCAGCACACTGAAACACTCCGCATACTACACGTTTTGAACCAAGGAGCAACAAGGGCTTGACCGTGTGCGAGTGGAAGTGGGATGATATATGCAAATGATGTTGTCCCTAGGTGGGTCAATCTACATTATGTTGATTTCTGTTTAGATTTTTACGTGTTATCGATTCCTGTGATGGTTGTGTCATTGAATGTAGGTTGTTTTTTTCTTTTGGTGTTCAAATCTTGCTTTGGATTTGCCGGTTTGGACATGTCACAGATGGAGATGGGTCATTGCTGGCCTTTCGGTTGTGGCAGTCAAGACATAGCGTTGAACAATGACCAATCATTTCTGCAGACTTGACACTTGAATCATACAAGTTCTTTTACAACACACCTATACTGTAAGAAAAAACCCTCAGATTGAAACCAGAACATGGGCATGGGTGAACTTCAGTGACACCAACAAATGCATGCGTGAATTGATTTTGGATCTGGATTTTGGAAGATTCAAAATATTGGAACAACAGAGACTCCTTCAAGAACTTTCGAGCGTAAGTCATGGATACTGGCGATGAACCAACCAGTGAGGCCAGACCGTTTGAGCAGCATCATTGTGCTGAAAATTGTAATCTGTATGTGGCAGTTCTGTTGTGGACCCTCCTAGATGGTTCACGAGAAATACCTGGGAACATTTTGCAGCAACTCCTCCTTTCTTGACGGATTCTTTCAGTGCCCGTCGAGGTTGAGCGAGTCGCTTTCCGAGCTTCGCTCTGATGTGTTGTCGTTGCTGTTGCCCGTTCCTGAGCAGATCCCAAAGACGGTCCACCCTTTTCAGACTGAAGTGGTCAATTTTTGGACCTTTGAAGTTGCCGAGTTGTGCAAGGGTTGAATGGAGGGAGACCATGAATGATGTGTTACTGTAAGCAGCAGCGCTACCAATGGATTTAGCAAGAGAGAGAGAGAGAGTACAACGAGAAACCAATCAATGCAGATGCCAACTATTGAACAACAGTTGCATCCAGCAGACTGAGAACCAGTCGCTTCTTCACTTTAGGCCGCGGAAAACCGCTCCGTCTGAGCAGTTCTGGGATAGGGGTCCTGTAGGTTTCACCATCCCCTATGTTTTCGGATGTCTTTTTCGCATCCGAACCTTTTTCTTCGCAGTTTCTGAGGTCTTTCTTGGAGGTGACATCTCTTTCAAGGACCTGCTCTTTGGACCATCTTCTGGGAAGGCCGGGACGTCCTTTCAGAACCGCCGAGTCCAGGGACGAGGGACGGGTCGACGAGTCTTCGATCTTTGGGGGGTTTGAGCTGCTATAGAAGTCGTCATCCTGAAGCTTGCTGACTTGATTTCTTCGTCTGACTTGGAGTTGTCAGTTGATGTCATTTTCTTTGGATCCAGCCTGTCTGGTTTCCCTACTGATCCAACCAAGCTGTTGATACTTTTTGCTTGGCTTGGTATCCTTGGCGTGCTAACCTGTGGTAGCTTTCGAGTGATTCGAGTATTTCCGGACCTGAAAAGTGTGTGAGACCTCCATCCACTCGTTCGCGACTCTCCCTGCACAGAGTCCTCTCTCGATCTCCGCTCTGCCAGGATCGCTGCATCTCACGAGCATTGGCCCGGCTTCCCAGACAGACCACCCGAGCCTTCGGATCCGACAGCTGGAGCCCCCTCAGAGGGTCTTCTGGAACCTGCGTGTGTGTCCACCGGCACGTTTCGGCCGGTGTCCACCGGTGGCTGGTTCGTGCAAGTTTCGCGGCAAGTTTTGGCTGAGGCGCTGGTTCGTGCTCCAGTCCTTTGGTGTTTACTATGACGATTACATGCGCTCGGTGGAGGCCCCTGACTCGGACTAAAAGTGTTGGCACAAAGAGGGGCCTTTGAGAAGAGTGAATCATCAGTGAAGGATCAGGGGTTGGAGGTTTTGCAAGCTGAGATCCAACGGAGTGTTTTCATGTTCACCAGAAACGTCCTCAACACCATGGGAATAGATACAGTATATCATATAGCTATGTCAACGCCTGCTAGTGTGGTGGTAAGAAGTAGTTCAGTCATCAGAGGGATGGCAACGATAAAGAAGGCGTTCAGGCCCAGGTGGTTCGATTGCGCTCTTGAGCGCACTGGACTCAGCGCAGCCGTTCGCTTTCGGAGAGGTCGCTGACGACTGCCGTTGGCGACGTCTGTTCATTTACATCCGCCAGGCCGGTCGCTGATGGGGGGGCGTTTTGGTGATCTGATGGGTTTTGGTGACCTGATTCATGGTTATTGGATTCTTAGGCCTGGCCCTCACCCGTGGCAGATCTCCTTCGCAATGTAAAAAGTATTAAACAGTCGAGTTGGTAAAAACATCGTGCTCGACAATGTTCAGAGGGATGACGTGATAAACAAAGACAAAGAAGGGGGAAGCGAGTTGCTGAGGGAAGCGAGTTGCTGAGGTGCACCACAATGTCGACCAGCAGAAGGCTGCACAGCGCACAATGCCCGGCTTGTCGATGCCTTAGAGATGAAGTAACAACGCTGGAATTGCTGGGGAACTCCCCCAAAAAGCCCACCAGTTGATTGTCACTGAAGAGTCCTACGAACTGTCTCGAGTCTCATCTACGTCCTGAAGCTGGAGACGCTTGAATACTGTTGAGACCGCCCTTTTTGGACCTCCGGCCCATGGCCTCCACGTGGATCTGGCCACGACCTCCCCAACTCGCCGAGGCTTAAGCCCTGCACTTGGCTTGGAGAGGAGGGGGCACGCAGGGGGCACGCATCGGGGGGGGGCGGGAGAAGAGTTCCAGTCCACCTTTCTGGAGACTTTCAGGTCCACATGGAACACATCCGTCTTTGAAGGGTGGACTCATCCCCTCTTTCCAGACTTGCGCACTTATCCTGTGATAGGCGGATTTGTGCCGCCTCTTTGTTTTCAAGATGAGAGGATGAGATCCTGCCAGCTCTGCTTGGAGCTTTGGGTGCCATGCTGCAATGAGCTCAAAGCCACACCAGCCGCCTCAAATGACATTGCCTATATACTCCTTCTGTTCAGGTCCTGAAGACTTGACCAGCCCTTCTCGACAAGTCCTTCCTGAAAGAGATGTGGAAACCAGTCTCCACCCAACAACCCCCCCCTTTGGATTCACCAGTCCCACGACCCATTCACAAAAAGAAAAGACACATGCGAACGAAGCCATTCCAAACTTCTTCGTGGTTTTCAATCACCATCTCCTCTTCTTAGGAAGAACGTTCGACTCCATTCGACTCCCTTCGCTCCATCTTCGACTCGTCGCTGCCACTCGCCCCTCCCCCATGCCGCGGCTGCACGGTTTTCGCGGGGGCACGCCCCTCGGCGGCTGGGCGTCGCGCGTGGCGCTGCTGAGCCTGGTGGGACTGGGAAGCCTCCTGGTGCTGCCGGAGGACTGGCACTCTCAGGCGGCGAAAAAGGTCGTGGGACCGTGGGACCCTGGGATGGTTGTAGTTATCACACTTTCAGAGCTGGGGGCATCTCCTCTGAGCAATTTCATTTTGAGTGATTTAGATCCCAAACCGACTATTGGATGGAAGACGGTGTTCGGTTGGTTCACTCGGAGTCGTACTGTGTACCTTGCAGGCCGCAAAAGGCCGACCGCATTCCTTGAGACGAGTCTGGACCGGACCGTTGGACGTTCTTTCACGTTCCTGCTGCTCTGATGGGTGCTAAGAACGAAACGCACGACTTCGCTTTCTGAGCCGAAAGCCGAAAGCCGAGAGCGAGCGATCGCACGACCGCGCGACCGAGAGCTCGACGAAATCAGGGAACTGCAAGCTCCAGATCGTTGCAGGCGAGAGTTCTGAAGAGGGAGAGAGAGTTCTGAAGAGGGAGCAAAAGGAGGAGATGCTGAGTTATAACAGGCATTACCTCAGTCATGTCAGCTGTGGGCAGCGGGGCATGCAACAGGATCTCTTCTATCAACAGAAGGCAGATTTGAGATGTTCACCACGCAAAAAGGAATGGTGATTTGGAGCATCCTTTTGTAGTTGGGACGTTCATATCACTTTGGGAACAACTTGGCTTGTTTCCCGTGTTTGTAGGACCCTCCAGCACCAGAGGGTGGTCTGAACATGTCTGAACTAGGAGCTTGTGATAGGAAGAAGTGGGCTGCGCTGCGCCAATCCTGCGGTTGGGCTCCTCACAAATCCCGGAAAAGAGACTTGTGGATGCTTTAGGGCCCTGTTTGGCTTGTCTTGGCTGTAAATACAGACTTGGCAGTGGGTCCTCAAAACCATTTGGCAATGTTGATATCCCTGCTCTGGTGACCCTCAGCCAATCCTCCGCTGTCCCTGTGAGCAAACTTGGTCAGGTTCTGAGCCAGGAGGAGGATGACGAAGCGATCAAGACCGGGCCCTTTGCGGAGCTGATGCGCCCCCATGAGATGCAGCCCATCTGGTTGCTGCCCTTGAGCAATGGCATCAAGCAGCTCCTGACCTTCTTTGTTTTTGGCTTTGACTTCAAGACCAAGTTCAAGACCGGCAGCGCAAGGATGAAGATCTTGAGCTTTTGCGCTGGCTTCGTCGCCAAGTTGGCCTTTATCTTTCTGTCCCTGAACTCCTACGTCAGTGATTTTCGGAAGTTTCAGAGTCGTAAGGCAAATAACTTGGACAACCTTTGGCAAAGTGCCTTGATTTTCTTGGCCATTTGGTGCACCTCGCACAACTTCTCCGCAGCCTTGGGTTTGTGGGGCTCGTTCACCATCCAATCTCCTGCAGTGATCTTTGAGGATGATATCGACAGGCCCAGATATTTGCCAGCCTCCGCCTGTTGGGGTTTTGGTGCGGTGGAGTTCCCCTTCTTCATTGGAGGCGCCCGCTGGCTTCAATTCCCCAAGCAGATCTATGCGTTGCTCCTCCTTCCCTATGTGATCCCCTACATGCTGTTGAGCTATGGCACGGCCATTCTTCTGGTCGCCTGGTTGATTCTCTTCACCAAGTGTTGGTGCACCTGAGCTGCGCTTTCTGATTAAACCTGGGTGGCCTGGGTGAAGTCCAACTTGTGATGCTCAGGTCCTCCATGTGATGCTCATTCTTTGCAAGGAGCGACCTAATCTAATCCATATATATATATATACATCTAGATATATAGATGGCTCTCATCAGATGCTGATCCACTTATCTTCTCCCGAAGAACTGGTCCCAACAGACCCTCCCTACACAGTCTCCGAACGTCTCCGAACCTCTCCGGACGACCGGCTCCGAACGGAGCGGCGGAGCGAAGCGCCCCAGGCGTCATGAAGCTGGCGTGGCTGGTGGCCGCGGCCGTGACGTGTAGCGTCATGTACCTCTTCGGGTCCAACCAGACAGGCGGACGTGGCGGGAGGACGCATGTCTCAGGAAGCCAAAAAGGGAAGATGTGGTCTTCAGTCAATCACGGGTCTATGGTGATGTGGTCTATTTCCCCGGATAAAGTCGAGTTCCGCAACTGCGCAGGATTCCGCAACTAGGATTCCGCAACTGTTTGGTCGGATTCCGCAACTGGGATTCCGCAACTGGGATTCCGAAACTAGGATTCCGCAACTAGGATTCCGCAACTAGAATTCCGCAACTAGGATTCCGCAACTAGGATTCCGAAACTAGGATTCCGCAACTGTCAAGATTCCGCAACTAGGATTCCGCAACTAGGATTCTGCAACTGGGATTCCGCAACTGGCGTTCCGCAACTAGGATTCCGCAACGTTGTGGACTCCCTCACTAGGATTCCGCAACTTTGTGAATGATGAGGGACACGATGGGGACAAGGGGGGGGTGGGGGGGGC